ATAATATGTCTTGATAGATATTCCTGGTAAAATTAATTAATGTAAACAAATTGATTTGTTGCTTACAGCTGGATGAATGTACTGGATATCTTAGAATATTATAAGGCCTATAGAGGATTAGGAAGGATTTCTCTTCTTTTATGTTATGTGTAATCTCTTTTGCATTTCATAGGAGTACATGCTAAATTTTATCCTTTGAGTTGAGAAATACATGTCTAGGCATTTGAAATACCATTCATGCACTTAATATTTTGACTACTAGACTATAATATCCCTAGATTTGCTCTGAATAGACAAACTTCAGGGTCATATTAACAAGAAAGAAAAAAATATGTAATTAAATTCCTCTAAACTGCTAAAAAATTGTAGATTTTATGCAACAAAAAAAGGAGACATAATTACTACTTTAATTTTAGTTGTTGTTTTTTATCACAGGAGGAGGATTAGCAGATGAAGGAGAAATGATAGAAGTTGTGGAAATGTCCATACCAGAAGTTCGACAGTACCTGAATCAGTCTGATGTGAACTCTCCCGGGGGCCTCCTTTTTGGACTAATGTGGTTCTTGAATAACAAGGCTCCAAAAGAGTAGCATTTATGAGACTGGCCATAACCTAGATTATCAGGAGTGCTTTTTTTCCTTCTTTGTCTTCTTCATCTTTTCCTTTCTTTCTCAATACCACCTTGAGTGCTTAACATTCTGCAGATGTTGTGAGGGTACCAGTTATAGCACTTTTTATATTTTTTAGGGATACAGATTTATGTTTTCTGTATTTTAGTATACACTCCATTTGTGAGAACTTATCTGGAGATATATGCAAATACATAACAGCTCAGGAGTTTGGTTAAGCTATCTTAACTCTTAGAGGATGAAACACTGCAATTAGTGTTTTCAGAAGTGTGTATGCACTAGATGGAACATGGTGCAGGTCCTCTTGTAAAAAAGAAGCTTCCAAACTGTACATATTAGAAATATCAAAGTTAGAATGATTTAAGCTGAAATAGTTATGCATTAAATTAGAAAAAAAATGCACTTTTTGAATCTTATTTGCAGTTGAGGCTTTGAACTTTCCTGTATATAATTTACACTTATATTGTTTTCACGGGTAAAGTTATACTTTGTTAGAATAGTTTGATTCTTTATATGTAGATCTTATTTTGTTTTCAGATTTTAAAAGTGAATCATAACAATAATATGATATTCCATGCATGAAGATGAATTTTGACACAGGCTTTTAAAATCATATATAAAAGGAAACAGAGAGTATGGTTTAAACTTTTTGATTTTTTTTTTCCAGATCATAGAAAGTACAATTTTTCTCAGTTATATTCCCTGTACATGGCAGGCACAGTGAATACATGTATGCAGTGATAGTTTTGGTAATGTTAAAATGGGTGCCAGTAGTACCTGGAGCTGCATATGCTGTGTTATTTATGTAATTCACAGTGAAATGTTAACATTAATGATAGCAAACATGATCATACAAAATAGACCTCTCATAGAAAATGATTCATTATTGGATGTCCATTCACTAGAGGTTCACTAAAGAAAAGTAATCTTATATGATAAAAAATTTATATGGTAGTACAAAAAAGTTATTTTGTTTTATTTTATCCTAGAATTTATTTCTGGACTAATTTCCTTGTAAAGTACATAAGTTTGTTATAGACAAATTTCAGAAGTAAGAAAAGTTGCATGGAACAAACCAAATATACACACAATGTCCAGAGCTTCAAATACATTGCTTAATGCAAAAGATACTACGAAAATGCACCAGAAGGAAAAAAGCTATGTATCAGGGAAAAAAGCTATGTGTCAGGGAACTCACAGAGTACAGAAACTACCTTCTGAAATTTGCCTGCAGTAGTACTTCATAATCCACCTTTAACCTTCACTATATAAAATGATTGTTAATAATCCAAATCCTGTTACTGTGTACCTAAAAAAAAAAAAAAAAAAAAAAAAAAAAAAAAAAAAAATATATATATATATATATATATATATATATATATATTATATATATATATATATATATATATATATATAATACATTGAACTCTTTATGTCTTGTTAGTCTTTTTAATATTTCTTCCACAATTCTGAAATATGAAGCTTAAATATTGACACCTTCAGTTTATTGCATTCATTATTGTCTGATTCATTTAAATGTTGATGTAAGCTGCCACTTATACCAGATAGTGCTTGGCTGCCATACTGACTGCAACAAGCTAGGTAATCAATACCTGTGATAGGGTAATCCTGTGTACACTGCCAGGCGGTCATTTCTTTGTTGATTGCTATCCCTAAAATGGTTTTCTCAAGTCACACATCCAGGTAACAAATATTCTTGTATTACAGTTGCATGCAGTTGTACTGACAGAAATACATCCAAACATGAAATTTTCACTTGCTACATCTCACTGCTTGCAGGCTCCAGGTGAGAGGAACTGTCAGCAGCCAGTGAACTGTAGAATGTTTACCTCTTGATATGGCAGTTGTATGCTATTTTGATGCCACCCATAATTATCAGGCTCCTCAAATGGTTCTTCAGTGTATCCTGGTCTGGCATGTGTCACCTGTGGTCTGTGTCCATTAATGTACCTGGTTCCTAATTTTATCTTATATCAGCATCAATGGTACCACTACCACCATTAGTGATTTTGTGCTTTCTTTGTTGTCTGGGCCATCTCCTCTTGCACTTGTTAGGAAACTGCTATCTGCTATCTACCTCATTTGTATGATCTTTGAGTAGCTCACTCAGTGACTGTAGCCTGCTGCTGCAACATCAATTCGCCATTTTTGCATCACTTGAAGGGCAATTAAGTTAATTTGTAAAAGCTGGACTGATCATATGGCTCAATCTGTTGTATTGAAATTTTCTCCAACTTATACATATAGATCCTTCTAGTTGTATAATCTTTGCTATGTCATTCCTCAATTTATTTTCTTACTTTTATTATGTACCCCAAATTATACAGAAGACCATGTTGTGAGTAATTTGTACTATCCATATCTGGGGAGTTTCGTCTTTGTAAAAAGAATAGTGATATGTTTCTTTAATTAATTAATTAATTTTTCATCTTTTCTTCCATTTCCAGCTTCCTTGTATTCAGTCTGATATGCAAGTGCCTCATAGAGTTACAACATTTAAGTTAGAATCTATGTCATCATGTATTTCCTGTTAGAGAGACATTCAAAATACAATGTGCTATACTTCAGACCTTGCCCTTTCCTTGAAAGCAATAACTTGTCAGGTATATAGTCAATCAAAAAATGTTTGGAAATTGGGTTTGTGCATTCTCTTTCTTAATCATTTATGGACAAAATATAACAATTTGTTGTTCTTGGGCATGTGCAAACATCTCATTTGTTTTAAAAAATGTGTCTATGAATAACCTATATTATAATTATTTGAGCCTGTATAACTGAAATTTATAACACAAAAAAAAAGAAAAAACCCTCCTAAGTGCACACAAAACTGTTATCCCTTATGGATTAATGAAAGTACTATAAGTTGAATAATTTACCATGCTACTTTTCTGTGTAGCTTGCTTGTGAAATTAGAGACTCATTTTGAAATACAAGCTTTACGGTCAAGTTTATTTTGTTTAGGGAATACTGGTTTACAGAGATAAAGAAAGAAAGAAAAAACATTATTTTGTAGTTTCAAAAAACAGTTTTAGTTGTTTATGATTTAGAGAGTTTGGTTTAATAATTAAAAAAAGCTTGTTTAACTTCAATATGACAAATGTGGGTCATTTTTTGTAATGAGTAGCAATAATAGATGCATGCAGAAGTTATGGGCTTCTGAGTACATACCCTTTTATATTTACCTCTGCCAAGGAGATTATGTTTTTGGTAGCATTGGTTAGTTTGTTGGTTGTTCCCCAGATAACTTAAAAAGTCAAGAAATTTTTATCAGAGGTGTCTTAGCCCAACTTAGGTGCCATTAAATTTTGATGGTGATCCAGATCATATTACAGTTCAGGAATTTTTAAAATTATTGCATAAGTTACCCCTAAGAGTAACTATTATTATTATAAGCATGGCGAGATAGGGACAACTTTTTGGCACTTGAATTTTTTGCTCAAAAGTTTTAAGGTTAGGCCAGTTCTATTTAAATACACAGCATTTCCAAACTCACGCTTAAGCCACAATAAAAAAAAAGCATCAGTAAAATACTTGAAAATATACAATGCCATAAATGTGTATTAGTTATACATTAACCCTGCAATAAGGGCCCATGAGTGTAGATATTGATGTACAAAATATAGTTATGCTCTATCTAATTGACTCTAGTTGAATGCTTACTCTTGAGCTTTACTGTGGCATCGGCTTCACATTTCTAAAATAATCTGAATGCTTATCTGGGGTATTTTTTACAAAGTATTTTCAAGTACTGATGTATTTTAGTTGTTCTTACTACTTTGTATGAGCTGTTGTCATCAGTATTATTTTCTTATTTGTATGGACTTATTTATAAAGTTTCATGTACTTAAAAGAGTGGGTAATATTATTTCTTTTTACTTACATCTTAGATTTTTGTATTACATTGATAGAATATTACTGTAGTATGAATTTATTTATTTTATATCTTTGAAACAACAGATTTCAGTATTAATCTGTTATAGAACATTCCTATCACAACATGCTACAATTTAATGTTCTTAATTTTTCATTTAAAATCAGCTTGCAAATATCGTGGCATTTATGGGATCATAATTTTGTATTTAATTTAAATGGTGCTTGAAAATCATGCAGGAACAATGTTTAAAATAAGTTGTGTGTAGATGCAAAATATGTAAAGGAAAAAATCACTACTATATAATAGCTAGATACACAATGTTTACTTTTTACTTTTTTGTATTGCACATATGTTAATATAGAAATGAGAAGTTCTTTTGGAAGTGGATATTGTTTTATTTTTTCCTAATGATGTAACACAGATTCTACAGGGACCAAAGCCAAGGTTGGTGCCAGACCAGTACTAAGCAGGCAGACTCAATGAATACATTATGTCTCCTTATGTAACTCCTGTATCCATTTAGTAAGGGAATGGGACAAGGTGTGCAAGATCACTGTGTAAATTACATGTGCTATATTCTCAGGTCAGATGACTGACAGCAAAATTATTACAGACAAAACAGTTGTTGCAAATGTGCTACCTAAATCCATGGCAGAGATCTCATGTACAGTATCTTAGATTGGCTATTTTCTACCTTCCGATCAAAACATAAGTATCAGCCAGTGTCCTTGAGTAGGCCCTCTGCATTGCCCCCCATATAAATTGCCATGCTAACACAGGCTGAAGGATTTTGCCCTCCACTTGTGCTATATGACTGCTCCAGGAGCTGAGGAGACACCACTTCCAGCATTACCTCACTTACCAGAGAGCTCCTAAAATTACTGTTGGCCAATTGCAGTTGGGTCTTTAGGGAGGGTACTGTGACAGTATCAGAAAGAGGCCATCCTCATCTCGAAAATTAGTAAGAATGCAACCATATCAGAAAACTCCAGATTAGTTTTTTTCCCATCATCTGCATCTGCAAACCGAATGGGAATATTCTAAAGACTAACATGGCTATTTGGAAAAAAAAATCCATACCAATAGGAATTTTAAGAAGTGAGACCGACTTCAGAAGCCAGTGTGTGTGTAGAAACTGTTATATGGAATTCCTATATACAACACATGTTAGCAGGGCCATTTGATTTTGAGAAGACTTTACAATGTAACATGAAAGAATGGCATACTACCAAAGATGTATAACGATGGTTTAAGGGTATTACCTATCTTCGTATAAAGCTTCCTTACTAACTGGAAGTTTAAAACAACCGTTTATTATTGCCAATAGAGACATTCTACATTTTGCCCTAGATATACACAAAACACCTAAAGTTGTATCACAAAAAAATAATATTTTTCCAGGGCGTCCTTTCCCAAGATGCTGACTGAATGTGAGCCATAATCATCAGCTAAGCCCATTGTTCTCAGAATATTTCTGACCCAAAGTCCACAATATGCATATGGGTTCCCAGGATCTCAGGAGCCAATCCATTGAAATGGGCTGTGGCACTCTCATAGCCCACTACAGTTGAGAGTGGGCCATCCACACAGTTCTATGTAAGGTCTTACATAGGTTTTGCTTTAGAGTAATAAATATGTATGAAGATATAGATCTGTTTCGGATAATTGCCCATGGACCACGGCAGTTATCGCTGAGCCCTGTTGCTCGTTTCCCTCTCCCTCACACAGCCATGGAATCAACTGTCAATGACATCTGCAACTCGGGTCCCGGTATCCATCCCAGAGGAAACGATCAACACAGTGCAGAGCGTTCGTTGCCCTGCCTTCGGATTAGCTCATTCAGCCCACAGACGCCAGTCTGAGAATGATTAGATTTTCAAGGATTTCGTGAAGGAAGCCAAGCTCGAACGAAATTCACTGGAACAGTGAATGTACCCTTCATTGTGCCACAGGAAAGCTAACTTTCTCTTTGCATTTTTTTGTTTTTCAACTCGGTATCATCTACATTGTTTTGGGGTTTCTTGAGTCTATTTGCTGTAATAACAGTTGCGTCCTCTCCATGACGCATTGCTCCACAATCTCGGTAGTTTATTTTCGTGTGTGTATGTGTGTGTGTGTGTGTGTGTGTGTGTGTGTGTGTGTGTGTGTGTGTGTGTGTGTGTGTGTGTGTGTGTGTGTGTGTGTGTGTGTGTGTGTGTGTGTGTGTGTGTGTGTGTGTGTGTGTGCGCGCGCGCGCGTGTGTGTGTGGATGGGGGAGTTGGTTCTATCCTCGTACCTTTGAGAGCTTAAACGAGTGGGCGCGACCCAAATCAGGGTCACCAGCAGGGTTTTTCTGAGGGTCGCCAGAGGGTCTTAAAAGAAGAATAAAAGAATCCATAGCTGGATATGTCAGTAAAAGAAAGTTTTTTTTATTAACATTTGTTTATTGAAATTCAATGTGATGGTAATATAAACCTATAAGTATATAGAGCATCGTAAGCTAACATACATCTGCAAGTATAACTACCATGATATGTTGGATATATAGTTGGATATATTACTACATGTTCACACATTTAAGGTCGCTAGCCCAGGCAAAGACTGTCATTGGGATCGTACCCGAAAAAAATAGGGAAACACTGGTTTAAACCAAGAGGTAAACTTCCCAAATCATAAACAACTCACGGGTAAATGCGCCTTCGAGAGCTCACACCATACAAACTGTGCCACCTCGGGACAGACTAGCATCCAGGGTCAATGGAGGAGTTGGAGCGGGGTGGAGAGGAAGCCAAGTCAGTTAAAAAAAAAAAAAATGGAAGGTGAAGGATTGTATGGGGCACTGTGTGTGTGTGTGTGTGTGGTGTGTGTGTGTATTACATTTAGTATATATAATATACATGCACATATAGTATTCATATAATATGTATATATAATATATTTGTATGTGTGTGTATACACTTAAAAAATACTGGGTATATATCTGTACACACACCACACCCACACATACCACCCACCCACCCACCCACACACACACACACACACACACACACACACACACACACACACACACACACCACACACACACACATACACACATACACACACAACATACACACATATACACACATTCATACGTGTATGTGTATGTTATGTATATATATATATATATATATATATATATATATATATATATATATATATATATATATATATATATATATATATATATATATATATATATATATATAGGTAGATTGATAGTTTGATACATATACACATACATATGCATATACATTTATGGTCTACGGGCAATTATTCTGATAAATGATATAGAAATGTATGTTTAGATTATAAAAGGCATTGCAGAGGTAAAAAGAAATATGGGTATTGGTGATAATTGTTACAAAACCTGGACTATGTTTGATGGAATTACTGTACGTCGAAAATATATAGTGGCACTTTATTTATCTATTTTATTATTTGTTTATTTATTAATTATTTGATAGTGAAAATAAGAGGCTCTTTATTAGTGTACCGATCGACTACATAATATCACGCCTTTGAACGAAAGAAAGTTGTGTTTTGATTTTAATGTTCATTTTAAACACATTTAACTTGTTCAAAAATATAAATATATATTCATATATCCTTGGAACATTAGGCTTTAAACGTGTGCTCTGTTCTGCATGTTGACTTATCCTTTGATGCAATAACTTTAGAGCGATTAAATTGCTTTTCTAACTGAATGATATCATATGAAAACGACTGAAGATCAGTGGTAAGGTTGAGCGATCTCGATGCTACGAAGAGAAACTTTTCTTTTCTTTGATGGTTCCTCGTTTCCGCCAGCTGCAGTGTGTTTACCTCCTCCCCCTGAGATAGACCTCGACTGCTGTTCTGTCATTCGAGGTAAGTTAAAGCTCGTGTTGGGCACTAACCTCTGCGTAACGTTTTGTTGAAGGTGAGGCAACAACGTTCCGACTAAGCGAAACGTTTCGAGTGGAAGGTATAAGTCGTCGCATGTACTCTCGTGAATTTAATACCGTACTTAACCACGCCTATATAATAAGAAAATAGGCTGAAATAGAGTAACTTTCTCGCGTTGGTTAAAAGAACAACAAAGCGTGATGTTCCGTTTTCACACACAATGTAATTAACGCTAATGCAATATCTGTCGCTTGCGTTTGAAAAAGGACAACGGACGCAGAGATTGTCTGTAGGCCTAAATAGCAATATTACTCAGACATTAGGCATAGACAGGGGCGCATATGGGAAGGGGACGGAAAATTACCTTAAAACCCAGGCTGCGATCACCATTTTGTTTATTATTTTATGTATTTATTAAAGGTATAGTGTAGATCACCTATAATCACCATGCCACACACACACACACACACACACACACACACACACACACACACACACACACAACACACACACACACACACACACACACACACACACACACACACACACACACACATTGACTAAAATACTATTTTAATAAATTGTTTGTATCAGTTATTACCGTCAATAAATGTTCCTTCATACTTGAACTACAGATAGTACACAGAGATCCGCACAAGGAATAAAGACAAGTATACAGTTAAAGAGATAATAAGGCAGGAAGGGAGAGAGAGAGAGAGAGAGAGAGAGAGAGAGAGAGAGAGAGAGAGAGAGAGAGAGAGAGAGAGAGAGAGAGAGAGAGAGAGAGAGAGAGAGGAGGGGGGGGGGAAGGGGGTAGGTGTGAACGGAGGTAAAAGTTGTCAATTACGCAAGGGAATATTCTAATGTGGAGGGTACATACGCAATCGTGCATTTAATACCACACCATTCTGTCACGTTTGTTGCAGTCTAGAAAGTCAAAATTGCCGCCTTAAAGCTAAACGACATATGCCTGACAGACACAGCTTTCTCCGGTGCTTTTAGGGCTTTGAGTCTTACATTCATACACACTTTTACACACACACACACAAACAACACACACACACACACACACACAACACACACACACACACACACACCACACCACACACACACACACACAACACACACACACACACACACATACATGCATACACACACACGCACACAACACACTACACATACACACACACACACACACACACACACCACACCACACACACACACACACACACACACACACACACACACACACACACACACAACACACACAACACACACGCACACACATACACACACGCACACGCGCACGCACGCACACACACACGCGTGCGCGGCGCACACATATGATACACTTATGAATACATATATATATGATATAAATAATATATATATATATATATACATATATATATATATTAATATATATTATATATTAATATAAATATATATGTATATATATTAATATAATATATATATATAATATATATATATATATATATATTAATCATAGGTATAATTATATATATTTAATATGTATAATGTATAATATATATATATATAAATATAAATATATATATATATGTGTGTGTGTGTGTGTGCGTGTATGGTGTGCGTGCTATGTGTGCGTGTGCGTGTGTGTGTGACGTTGTTGCGTGGTGTGTGTGTGTGTGTGTGTGTGTGTGTGTGTTGTGTGTGTGTGTGTGGTGTGTAGTATGTATGGTATGTATGTATGTATGTATGTATGTATGTATGTATGTATATGTATATGTATATGTATATGTATATGGTGTATGTGTGTGTAGCTATATATATATATATATATATATATATATATATATATATATATATATATATGTTTGTGCTTGGTATATTATATTGAATTTGCTTAATATCCGTCCTCATTATCCCTGAATAACATATTGGATCCGATTGATTACATTCAATTTGCTTCTTATACCACATAACCTGTGACTTGCAATCTTACGTATGTATATATTTTTTCTTTCTTGCCTCTATATGCATCTGACAATTCACGCAGTACCCAAGATTAGACTAGAAAGCGTAGAGAAAATAACCTTTACGTAATCATCAAAACTTTCACCCTTATGTTATGGTCGAAAAACAGTTGCCAGATGTTGCGAGAAAACATTAAGAAATTAATGCTGTTCGGAGTTTCGTTTACCAAGAACTAATATAAAAAAGAAAGAATAAGATCTGATTATACGTTGTTATGCCGAAAGGATGTCGTTAATCTTGACAGGAAGAAAACATTTATTTAAGAATTCGAATGGAAGTCCGTGTTGTCAACTTCTTTTGGATGCGTTAAATTTTGCTTAGAATCTTGTTATTTTGACTTTGATTTTGTCTACGATTTTATCGGCGTTGTCTTCAGTTTTGTTTTAAAAAATTTAAGACGTATACAAGAAAAGAAGAAAAAAACACGAAAGTATATATAAACTCTCAAAATTCGCTAGTCTTGTTGATTGTCTAGTTTATTATGTATTACTTCAGTAAGGTTTTTATTCATTTCCATCTTTGTCTCATGTAATGTTTGTTTTTCTATTTCATGGGGAAAGTTTGCGGTGTTGTTTTTCGTTTTTGTTAGGGATTTTTATCTATTCTTGGGAGAGTGATTAGTAAATGTATCCCCGAATAAGGGGGTATGTTTTTATTGATAGTTATTGATATTATTATTATTATTATTATTATTATTAGTAGTAGTAGTAGTAGTAGTAGTAGTAGTAGTAGTAGTAGTGGTAATAGTAGTAGTAGTAGGTTCATTATCATCACCGCTGGCATACATTATTTTTTATCTTTACAGTGATCATCATTATGATCACTATTATCATCACAATAATAATTATCAACATTATCACCACACTAATATTATTATCCTCATCAATATCATCACTATTAGTATCATTATCATTATTGCCCTCTTAATTATCATCACTATTTTACTAATACAGATCCAGAATTAAACAGAAAACGGGATGTTACCGACTCGAAGCCCCAACCGAAGAAAACCGACGCCCATGCCTAACCTCACTATCTGTCAGCTGCTCCTAACGGCTCTCCTGCTAGCGGTGCTGGGGTGTGGCGGAGGCGCAGACGGGCAGGTGCTCTTCAGGGGACGGTGCCCGAAAATCCCACCTATGAGAGGGTTCGATCCTAAAAGGGTAAGGATGATGGGGGTTCTAAAAATGTGGGCGAGTAGAGGGAAGGGTCGGGAGGTGGATGAGTGATCTCTTAATGGCTAAGTGGATGCGTTATGTAGGTGGATAGATGGATGGCGGCTCGTCCTTTCTATGGATGGATGGTTGGATAGAGGGGTAAAGAACAGCTGATAGATGGATGGAAGGATGGTGTGTTTGGCAAGGATTGACGAGGGGATTCGAACCTGAATGGGATGGTGTTGGTATTCTCTGGGGTGGATAGGGGGTAGAGGGTAGAGTAGAAAGCGGCTGATGTCACTTGTAAAGGGATGGGTAGATATATGGATAGTATGTTCTGTAGAGGGAAAGGAGTGGTTTAGGTATGAATGGATACATGCGTGGATGGTAGTTTTGATAGATCGATGGATAGTTTCAATAATGGGTGGCTGGCGTTCCTTAAAATGGATGGATAGAAGACATGTGGGTTCCGCCGGTGAATAAAAGATAGATTGATTGATATATGGTGCATTCGGCAGGAACAGATATGGGACTCGAACCTACCTACGATGGTAAAGTTGAACCTACGATGGTAAAGTTGGTGCTGGCTGAGAGCGCGTGGTGGGTCGCGGGTGGATAGGGTGTGGCTAGCGTCCTCTTTAGATGGATGGATAGATGTGAGGATGGGAGTTATGTCTTCTGTAGGTGGATGGATGTATAGAAGGGTGTGTAGGTGGATAGGACTGGGTAGATGCATAGGATGGGATAAATGGATAGGCTGATAGATGGAAAGTAGTGTGAGAGTGGGGGTGGATAGTGGGAGAAGGGTTGCATAGGGGTGGATGGTGTGTTCTGTAAATTGACTGATGCGGTCCTATATATAGATGAATAGACACGTATATAGCAGGTTATACAGGTGGAGATAGTTTGTGTGTGTTATAGATGGATAGATTGATGGGTAATGGGTTTTATAGATGGATGGATAGATAAGTGGACGGCAAGTTATAAAGATGGATGTTTGGTGTTTTTTTTGGGGCGGATAGATACATAGATGGCAGTTGTGTATTCTGTAGATGGATTGGGAGGTGCAAGAATGAAGTTTTCTGCAAATGGACAGATCGATGGATAGATAGCTCTGGGCGTGGATGATGTGTTCTACAGATGGACAGTTGGTGTGTTCTTTAGTTGGCTGGGTGGATAGGTGCTTGTGAGGATGTTTTACAAATGTACAGATAGCTTGTTCTATAACTGGAGAGGTAGGTTTATGGATAGTGTTCTAAAGAGATGGATTGATGTATAGATACACTGATGACCAGTTCTACAAATGGATAAGTAGATATATGGATGGTGCATTCTATAGATAGTAGATGGATAGATGGTTGTTTGTCTGTGTTGTAGATGGCTGGATAGATTCACTAGGTATGTAAATGGATAGGTAGATGGACTGAGGATGAAAATTCTCTGAAGCTGGCACAAACGAAAAGGTGTTTTTTAATTTATGAATAGAAGTTTATATGAAGACCTATGTGTAAATAAGGAGACTGATGTACAGGTCAACTGACGTACAGAAGAAGCAAAGATATTGTTAAACATAAGAGGAAAAAAAGGACAAATGTTCAGTTCTGATGACCTTCCTCTCTCCATTCTTGTAGTTCCTAGGGCGCTGGTACGAAATTGAACGCTTCTTTGTGTCCTATGAGGGTCTGGCTGGCAGCTGCTGGGTCGAGAACTACCTCTACGACAAACAGAAGGGCTTTTTCACTCGTTTGGACTGGAAAGACCACTTGTAAGTGTATTTTACCAAATATGTGTGTGTGTGTGTGTGTGTGTGTGTGTGTGTGTGTGTGTGTGTGTGTGTGTGTGTGTGTGTGTGTGTGTGTGTGTGTGTGTGTGTGTGTGTGTGTGTGTGTGTGTGTGTGTGTGTATAAGTATGTATAGATAACGAACATATATGTATATATTCATTGAAATTGTTTTGTATGCTCTCTCCTGTTAATGTGAAAAGTGTGAAAAAACAAGAAAATAAAAATATAAATTATCCTTAAAATATTTTCAGACACACATACACACTGACAAGGACACTTACACAGACACACTCATTCACACACAATAAATACAGTAAATCATGTTATACCACTGTATCAAGTAAAAAAAATTACATTTAGAAACAAACTAAAATGTTTTATCCTTGGCTATTAATAAGAGAACTGGATCTGACAATTCAAATTATTATTTCAGGACAGGAAGGATCTTCAACATAGAAAATGGATTAACATTTGATGAATATGAGCCAGCAGTTATTCATTATGTTGTTCAACGGCCAAGCATTCCAAGTGAGTGTTTTTATTTGATTCATTGTGTTATTTAACAATGAGATTAATTTCAAACTTTTTTCTCAATACGATATTAGGTGAAAGAGATGAAATAGCTCAAGTTTAATACTTTTAATAATTTTTATGGCACCAGTGTTTTCAGTTTTGATTATTTACATGCCCTTTTGATCATTTGGTTTCTAAGCTTTTCCTTTACTTCTCAGTTTTACAAGGAGAGTACCGCATCTTAGCCACTGATTACTACAGCTATGCTTTAGCATGGCAGTGCGATGAACTGCCTCTTGGAACTGCACACACTCGTAAGTGGACAATGTGCTTTTTCTAATGAAAGTTGCCTCTAGTTTATGTTAGACAGATAAGCTTATGATGAATTTTGATATGAAATCTGGTTTTGTGTTTGACATGATTACCTATCATGAAAGGGAACCTAAATATGATTGTTCTTTCTTTATATACACATTCTTTTTCATAAATAATAAATATATCAATCTTTGCAGAGATCCTGTGGTTCCTCTCCAAGATCCAACACCCTACCTATGAGACAGCCAAAAAAGCAAAATACATTGCCCATTCCATTGGACTGGATACCTCTTTATTACAGAAACAAGATAGGAAGGATTGTCCACCATAAAGGAGGGCATGGGGAGTAGAAGAGAAAAGAAAATGTGAGAGATACTGATAAAGAAAGAGGAGATGATGAAAGATGATGAGGGGAAAGGATGGAAGGGAAAAAGAGAGCCAATGGAAATATCAAAAGAAAATATAATTATTCATATTTATGAAAATCTTTGTTCTACAAAGCTAACCCCAATGACAAAGATGGTACACATAGCTATTTACACATCAGTGTTATTATTTAGTTATCAATTTATATTGTACATTTTCTTGTTATTTCATTTGTAATAGATTGAAAAGTAATGTCAGAAGAATATTTAAACACTGGAATTTTCTGACCCTGAAATCAAAGACTCAGGGAAAATTCATGTAAAAATCATATCTGTACTAATAGATCAACCCTACTGTTATGCAAATGATCTTGTTGAACATTTTGTTGGTGTTAATAATAAAATCCAAACAGCAAAATAAAATTTATTAATAAATACATAAAATTACTATAAGCTGACTGTTGTTCACAACATCTGTGCATATTCTATCTGCCGACGCTGCACATGTCTTAACAAAGTTACGATTGCAGCTGGAGTGACACCTTCAACACGGGTTGCTGCAGCAATCTGGGTTGGAAGGAGCAAAAGAGAAAACTTATAATTTTCATCTTTAAGCCAATGATGTCAGGAGGACAAAAATGCAAGCTATGTCCACTATGCTTTTAGTGTATTAATTGTGTTTACATGTAGATGGCTCCACAAGTGCTTAGTCACCAAGAAGTCAACTACTAGTTCTATCTACCTCACATATTTACCTTTTTCCTTGATTTTTTTTCCATCGTTTAATAATTTGTGTAGTTAATAACATAATAATCATAATATCAATAGTAATAATGAGAGTATCAATATGAAAAGCAGTAGAAAAAATATTCTACTGTTTACCACTATTAGTTTTGGTAATAACATCATCATAATCATAATATCAATAATGATAATGACAGTATTGATATTAATTAACTGTGACTGAGCACTTTTGCAGAAAACTATGGTAGACATTGTGATCATCTGGCACCAATGAGTGAAGTGTCATATTTTAACAACTAATGCTTTATTATATATTATCAGTGGTACCTCCAGGTCATTAACAATCTAACAATATCTCTTACCGTTGCTGGTCTGGCTTTTGACAATTTGCTCCGCATTTCATTTGATATGTTGATGGAAGAACTGCAAGCAATACAGAGATTCCATTAAAACATGAAGCATAGCAGGAATGATCTTAGATAAATAGCCACATATTTAAAGAACAGTCATTCCTATATCCCGCACATCCATGCAAAACACACACCCACATGCATACCAATAGTAATCCATATCAAGAGGGATGACAAGAGAGAGATCCCTGCGAACCGCTTCAATTTCTTCGCTCTGGGCTGCCACATGATCAGCATACAAGGCTTCAATCTTCAGTCTTTCCGCTACCTTGGGGTCGCTTGCAAAAGGACAGTAGGCTGGTTCAGCATGTGCCATCTCTTCAATGGTAATGTGCCAGTTTGCAGTTCCAAGAAGCTCCAGGCCACTGAATGGGGTAAAATTGAGACATGATTTTTCTTTTCTTTTCTTTTCTTTTTTTTTTGGTTTTTGTAGGCGAATACGATTTTATATTATTTCTTTACTTTTTGATACATTACTATCTGTAATATATAAAATATATTTGGAGGAGGAGAAGAAGAAGAAGAAGAAGAAGAAGAAGAAGAAGAAGAAGAAGAAGAAGAAGAAGAAGAAGAAGAAGAAGAAGAAGAAGAAGAAGAAAAAGAAGAAGAAGAAGGAGAAGAGGAGGAGGAGGAGGAGGAGGAGAAGAAAAGACAAGGAAGGAAGAGGAAGAGGAGGAGGAGGAGGAGGAGGAGGAGGAGGAGGAGGAGGAGGAGGAGGAGGAGGAGGAGGAGGAGGAGGAGGAGGAGGAGGAGGAGGAACAGCAGGAGGAAGAGGCAGTGGCAGAACAAGAACTAGAGTAAGGCAGGATAAAAGAAGACAGACGAGGACGAAGAGGAAGAAAGATGACATGATAAGGACAAAGAAACCACCAAAAATGAAAAAGAAAAGCTCAAAAATCACCTATACAAGGAGCTTACCTCTTGAGTACAGGTGCTTTGGGCTCCTGCCTGTGGAGCAGCTGGGCCCAAGTCCTGAAGCTACGAACATCATCTCGAAGTACACTTAAGCCTTCTGTCAGCTTCTCTCTCATGTATACTGTCTTCTTGAACCTCTCTTCTGATACACATCCTACTTTGTATCCTGCCAGGGAAAACAACACATTTATTTGTCAGTTTCATCTATCTCTTATAGTTACTGATCTAATCATATCTAATGTAACATGTCAACTTACAAACAGAAAGAACAGTCTTGCATTCTCTCTTAGCCCTTCTTATAGAGGATGAAACCTATTGGAAAATTGATAAATCGCTATTGGAAGTTTTATTTAATGTGCTGAAAGACTTACCTTCCATCCTTTTTATATCTGCACATGATCTAAGAATAAATGAATAAAGACTAGGGAACCCCTAAAATGCTAAGAATCTTAAGGAATTTAAAAAATCCCCCTATCAAAAAAAAAAAAAAAAAAAAAAAAAAAAAAAAAAAAAAAAAAAAAAAAAAAAAAGCAAATGAAATAAAAGCCTACCTTTTTCAGTCAGTCGAAGGTCAGCATTGTCAGGCCTCAGTTGTAGTCTATACTCAGCACGTGAAGTGAACATTCGGTAAGGTTCGGAGGTGCCCTGTGTCGTTAGGTCATCAATGAGGACACCAATGTAGCTCTCGGTACGATCTACAGTTATGCCTTCTCTTTTTAATGCCTGAAAGAGATTTTCATATAACTTCATGTATATACATACATACTCACTTCGTCCAGTATTTCTAATCCTGATTACCAGTTTATCGCAGGAATAGTAGAAGAAATAGAGTCAATACCAGACATAAAACACGAAGGCCATTAGAAATCACCTTTGCTGCAGCATTTATTCCTGCAATAATACCCTGGGCAGCAGCCTCTTCATAGCCAGTTGTACCATTGATCTGACCAGCCAAAAAAAGCCCGGAGATACGACACGTTTCCAGCTGGGGAGTTAATTCTCTTGGATCTACATAATCATATTCCACTCCGTACCCTGGGCAATAAAGTTTGTTTAGTAATAGTTTGGAAATAACTGATGTTTTTGTATCAACTCTTGTATATTCACGTAAAATCAGAGACAAGATGCAAAAATAATAAAAGAAGTACATAAACATAAATCCCCTAATCTTTCTCTCTCTTATATATATACATGTATGTATAGATACACAGACAAGACAAAAAGAAAGAGATACAGAAAGAGAGAGAGAGAGAGTATAGGAGTAAGCCCACAGCCCCCACTACCTGGAACCATTTGGCAGTTTTCTAGGCCAGCCTCATCTTTTGCTGGTGTTCTGGAGGCATTGTGCACGATAAGCCCTGTGGATACACCAGCTCGGACTCCAACCCTTCTGGTTCCAACCAAACCTGGTGTCTTCTTCCTTTAAATCTATTTGTTTCAAGAAAAAATCATCAATGAATAGGTACTAATTACAATATAATATCCATATGCTCATGGTGATACAAAAGTGAGTTCTAACAATATGTCTCAATATTAATTGAAATCTCTCATATTCACCTCAGGATTTTAGATTCTATTGAAGGACAATATCTGGGTCCACGTGTTTCTTCTTGCACATGTCGATTTAGGTGTAAGGTTTCTCTGATGATCTTGTCAACTTCTGCTGTTGTATAGGTAAGGTGGCATAGGAGTTGATCTTCTGGCTGTAGATTCAAGTTAAATCATTAATGACATTTTTAATTTGAACTACTCCTTCTTCTTGAACAAAAATACTAAATCCAATATACTATGTATATACATGATAAGATGAGAAAATTATCACAAGTCATATAAGACAAAGTCCTATCTTATAATATAGTGGTCCTCTATGCAGAATCTTCAAGAGCTTTTACCTTGATCCAAACTTTCTCATTCATAAAGGAAAATGGCACAGGAGGGTTGTCTGGTTCTTGTGTCAAGCAAACTGAGAAATCTATAGTGTCTTTAGCAATTCTTGGTGGAGTTCCTGAAAAGAGGGAAGTATTTGAAAGATAGACAGATGACTTAGGAAGTTCTTTTAACCACTTCCATGTCCTCCAATGAGGATATCTCACATAGATTTCAACAAAATCAATATTTCAGATTTCTTCATGGCTTTTGAAATTAGTTTAGAAAACATAAAGAAAAAAAGAACAGTAAGACATACCTGTTTTGAGTCTGCCGAGCTTAAACTGTAATCTCTCTAAAGTATTTGCCAATCCAATAGCAGGTGCATCACCCAATCTGCCAGCTGGTCTGACATCCAACCCGATGTTAATTGATCCATTTAGGAAAGTCCCTGTGGTGATGACAACAGTGTTGCATCGAATCTCTTCGCCATTTTCAAGAATAATACCACAACATTCTGCCAGCCTTGAGAATTCTGCAGAAATAGTCAGAAACAGAGTATTTAATAAGTTTAGTTTTTTTAATATCTATGAGAGTAAACTTAGACATTATGTAAATTTTTGCTGAATTTTATAATTCATTGACAGTCATTTGCATCATAAGAATCATCAATACCTTAATTACTACATCCAACAAAAAGAAAAGTAAAAATATTTTAAAAATTAAAATATTGACCTCAAAATAAATATTATTTGTTCAGTATAAGGACTTGTCTGTATTTAGACTAGAATAAAAAATGAGAATAAGGAGAAAGATAAAAAAAAATACCTTCTTGGCTGCTATTAGCAGTACCACTTTCCTTTAAGATCAGGTCTTCTACAGCTCCTTCAACTATTGTTAAGTTTGGAATTTGGAAAACTTCTTCTTGGAGATGTTGCTTGTATAAGGTGCGATCAATCTGTGCTCGAGGACCCCAAACAGCTGGGCCTTTTCTGCGATTCAGAATCTATAGGAAAAGGTTTGCTTAACAGGTTGCGGGTTTTAAAACAGAAGAAGAATCTAAATACATTACCAATATTCATATATGGTCTCCCCTGGATGTAAGTGGAAAACAATACAACTATGAAGTCCACAAGAATATACACAAGAGGAAATAGGAAATTATGACAATGAGATTTTCAAAAAATAGAAAAATGAAATACAAAATGAATAATTATACAGAAAGAAACATATTCTAAATCACATAGTTTAACTAGAATGGTATACAATTAAAATCCAAGACATCTATCAACACCACATACCTTGTAATGCACTCCTGACAGATCGCACACTCTGCTGCAAAGTCCATCGAGGGCGTCGACTTCTCTCATTAAGTGTCCCTTACCGATGCCCCCAAAGGAAGGGTTGCATGACATCTCACCTTTGGGGGTGAAAAATCAAAACCACTTAGAGAAAGATACAAAAAATAAAATCATTATATTGCAAATCTGATACAAAGTTTAATAAGAAATATATTGCTAATGAAGGGAGTATGTGCACTTAATTTGAAAAGTTAAAAAGTGACCATTCAGTTTGAAAGACAAGAAGAATCGTATTACTGCACTAATCACAAAAGATCAAAATTTGCGGTTTTGTAATCTATAAGTTTCACTCTATAAAACAAATAAGAATAGATCCCATACCCTTTCCATGATAAGCATAATGACATGGTGAATCAAATATTCAAAACAATTTTTTCTTCATTTTTTGGCTCCCTCCCTTTAAGAAAGAAAAGAAAAGAAAACTAAAGAAAAGAAAAGAAAACAAGAAAAGAAAAAAGAAGATAAGAAAAGAAAGCGAAAGGATAAGAAAAGAAATGACAAGAAAAAAGGAGAAAAGAAAAAAGAAAAGAAAAAGAAAAGAAAGAAGCATACCTATTTTTGATTTCTTGTGAGTTATAAGCACAGTTCTGGCCCCCATTCTGGCAGCTGCTGCACATGCTTCGGTACCTGCATGACCTCCTCCCACCACAGCCACGTCGAAAACCTCTCTTGCAGCGATTTTACTATAATAGTTGACATTCTTTAGCGTATGTGCTACTCTGCACCAACTCAGCATTTTTCCTCCTGTTAAAGAAAAAAATCAGAATTATTTTACTAAATATTATTATAAGATGTAATGAAGAAAACTACAAAAGCTATCTTATTAACAGTACTTCCTCAGAATCTATCTTGGCATCAAAACTGAATAGAAATTTATATTCTTCAATGGAATAGACTATAAGAATGAATAATGTCAGATATACATAATTCCGTACATCATCACGCGTTTTTGTTTTTCTAACATGGCAGAAACTGAGACAATGGCAAATGCAAACCATCTTTGATATATCTTAACTAAAGGCAGGAAAGGAAACTGTATGGCAGTTTTAAAAATATCAAGGCAGACTCTTGCGTTTCCAATAAATCTGTCATTTTTGAGTTGCGATGGAATTACGCAAAAGATTCTCAGAATCACTGGCACTACTGTTTGCATATTTTCCATCCAGAAGAAGGCTGGCTGAAACCCGACCCTTAACAAAATGTTATCGACTTCACGCTCTCTGCCTTTGACTTATACCCTATACCAACCTCTAACACTTGGGATTTAGGCCTATTAGTACCCTAAATAGAAATCAAAACGTGAAGGCTTCATTATCACCACATGCGCTCCTGCAATGATCAATTACCTACTATTTTTTAAAGAATCTATTATTTTTCTAGGTTTATAAACCTTACACAACATGCAATAAAACTTCACCTCTACTTCTCTAATGTAACTAATGCCATAATCAGTATAATTCCATGAAAAAACTAAGTGGAAGCTAAGTAGTACATTAGTTATTGTCTACACTGAACGCATTTCAGTCCAAAACCACATTGAAATTAAAATATTACAGAAGAGACCTCCCTGCTGTAAAAGCGGACCTAAATGTTAAGGAATTTGCAAACACGGTTATACTTATTTAGAGAAAAAGTATATCCCAAAACCCTCTTATAAAATAAACAATGCGTAGATACAAAAGGCAGAGACCGAAAATAACCATGATATTAATCATAAAATTTCACAAAATCTGAAATATAACACCGGCCTATCTATTGTGGTTTAGAGAAGAAGCAGTCAATTTTTGACCATGTTGCAGGTTAGCATAAGGTAAAAAATCGCGTATAATGTTGATCTCCATCGTGGTCTTGCGTGTTGCCAGATTCGATTAATTGGATTTTTTATTTTAACTTCTATCTTCTCACAGATAGATCTTTGGATTATTAACTTGTGTTCATATGGATTTATTCATTTTTTTTAGCGTAGAATGAGGAGGATTTCCAGAAAAAAGGAACTTTCGAGAGAGAATATATGAATCATGCAAGTGGATCCGAATGGTATCGATAAATTTTAGGGTTCAGCAATAAACATAATCAAATATCTTCCTGATTTAGGTATGTTCAATCAGAATGAATGAGTATATTTAGCCACAATGGAATTTGCGAAGAAAAATAATTTGCGACATGCAATAATACCAAAAAATAATAAAATAATGATTTTAAGTGAGGGATCCGAACAAGTGGTGTTGTTGTGTCAGCTGCTCGAAGTCGGGCCTGAAAACTTCTACCTGTCACCTTATTTATCGAATTTTCACCTTATTCACACCTTCCACGACTAAAACATGGATGATAACACACAGAACGAAGAGGTAGGTTTTCTCTAGAGATCTGGAAATAAGGGTAAAGTCAATATTATGGGCTGATTTTAGTGGAAGGAACGAGAGCGGAGTCCGTGAATGGGATGGAATTCGCTCTGTTTGTGGGAGGAAGATTATTTCGGTTCTCATTTTATGTATTGGCCTTTTCTCTGATCCTGTATTTTATATTTCGTATGGATTTTTGATTTTTCGTTTGTCATTTTGGTGATGGAGCTTTTAATTTTCTCCAGATGCATTATTTTCAAAGTTGAGCGTAGTTGCAATGTTGGGAGGCTGAAAGAGAAAACCCTTTTACAGGCGTCAATATTTACTCTTTTTACGTTTATATTAGCTCTTATTCAACTCCTGATTAGTCAGAGGGTTCATAGTGTAAATAAGCGTATTGTGAGTAAAGGGAAGAAGGAAAAACAGAACCAATATTTTACATTTATTTAGGCGAGGTTTCCTAAAGCCAGTGACTTAAAATTGAATTGATTCTCGTAATGGTATTGGTTGCATCCATATCCTCTTAAAACCCTCTGGGATTTGTGATGGAAAGCCTGAATAGATTAGCAACATTTGGCGATAGTTTGGCAAATGTAATTAAACCAACCCATAAAGTCTAGCAAGATAGAAATCAAGCCGACTCTTGATTTGTTGATTAGTCAGGGATATCAGCCATCTAAGGAATCTCGGAACGCTTGAGAATGGAGTTTTCCCTTTTCCCATCCACCTAGCAAAAATGGCTGGATTATAGAAAATTTACTCAAATTAGTCAAAAGTCTATGAATTTTGTTTGGCCCAAAAGAGAATGTAATCAATCTTTTATACCTTTATTTGATCTCTTGTACAAAGTATGGTAGATTTATAATAGATAATCAGGGTTACAGTAAAAAAAAGGGTATGGAATAATTACCTTGATGTAAACTAAGACACGTTTTCATCTATGGCATAAGGTGTGCAAATCAAAAATGAAGGAGATATATAACAGAGAAGAGAGAAGTTTAACCCATCTTTTTCTAAGTTATTTCCCATGTTTACATCACAAATGGTTACAATACTATGAATGCTTAACTCACTCCTGCAATCTGTCAATTAGTTCATGTATTACTATGCAGTGGTGAAAACAATTGTTCTGTTAATTTCCATGTTTGATTTTCCTAATTCTTGTAATTTATCTATTCCTTTTATTTTTAATAAACTTTTTTTTTACATGTTTTGATAGTTTTACACTATTCCTTTCAAAAACCTAATGAGAATTAGCAATCGCCATTTCTTGACAAAACAACAGTGAGGAATGTTTTGGTTTCAGTGTTGTGTCGATTCCTTGTCCTTTGTAAAGCAATATAATGGTTATGCAGAAAATAGACCTTAGTAACTATCACAGCTTGATATATGAGCCTGTAAAGTGCCCCAGTTTGCTGGAAAAAAGTTATTGTAAACCAAGCCATTCAGAAAATAGACAAAAGTGATATAAAGGTGGTTGGCTTATCCTTTAAGGTATGTATGCAGCTCTATTTTGCTGTATATACTGAGGTGAAGAGAGTCTTCCCGGGAGGTGTTGGGGAGCAGAGCCCTCCATCAACCCTCTCCTCGGGCAGTGCCCAAAGGGCACGCCTAGACACAGAAACTTAGATTGTTGAATAAAGTTTTTGACATGGAATTAGGCTGCTTTATTGGTCAGGATGTATTGGTTGGTGTGAATTTCCGTAGATTTTACTGAAAGATGGGTTGGGTTCATGTAGTTTTTTTTTTTAGTTGGCTCCTCAGTCTAGACTTTCAAAGATAGCAGACACATCCATAGAGTTTCATTAGCTGATTTTAAGTGTTATTTGTGCTGGTTTTACACAGTTTTGTTCTTTATTCTTCTAATAGTTGCCTGTTTTACCTTTTCCTGATATACTTCATGCCCTCCCCTGCTATCGGGACTTAACACATCAAGATTTTTAGCTCTGATCGCTATGGAAATGATCAGATTCCTTCACGTCAAATAAGAATAAATCTGATGATATAAACGTCGTCTAGGAGGTCCTGATTGTCATATATGGTAAAATAATGGATTATTCCAGATAAAGTCTGAAATTTTTGTTTTGATGAAGTGCTGGAAACCCTTTCAGCAAACCCTATTTTACTAGAATATAGATGATGGAGTGCTGGCCTGACAGATATGGAAGCCACAGTAATTGGCCAGTGGTGAAAGTGTGGGAATGTTTGTAATGATTTGTGAACAGCAATGTATTTGGTATTTATTTATTATATTTATTTATGTTTATGACTTTGAGAGAAATGAGGAAAAACTTTGCATGCTGAGGAATAATTTAGCTTCAGCGAGGGTTTGAAGTGACTTTAGTACTGATTTAATGTTTTTCAACAGCACCAGTTTGTTGTGGATGAGGTGAGCACAATCATCAAAGAAAGCATAGAAACCGTAATAGGTGGAAATGCATACACAAGCGCCAAAGTTAATAATTGGACGTCGCAGGTGGTGGAAAATGTCCTCGGAAACCTTTCGAAACTCAACAAGGCCTTCAAATATATTGGTGAGTTTGGCTGTATTACTGTATGATTTTTGGTGTTTACTTGATATCTACTTGCATTATCTTATTTTTAAAAAGCTTTATTTTTTATGGAATCTTTATCTGTTTACAAATTAATGAGGGATAGAGACAGAGACAGAGATGGACATGGACAGAGAGAGAGAATATAAGAGTGAGTGAACTAGGTTTCAAAGTACACTAGTTTATTATATAACTTTAGGAGATACCAGACCTACATTTTATCAGGATAATCAAAGGTTAGAGGTCAGTTACAAACCATATCTCTCTAATGGTGGCTCACAATAGAAGTAATTATGATAATGATAACATTGAGTAAAAGTAATGATAAAACAATGGAACTGATAAGAAAAAAGGAGTAACAAGGTTAAATAATGAACACAGATTTCAAACACAAGTACAGTTAGCATTCAGTAATTGCTACAATTAATATTACTTTAATATTATTCTTTGTTCGGATACAGCAGTGAAACTGCTTAGGCCATAAAACAGTTGAATTAGTTAACCTTCCAATTATCCTTGACATCCAAAGATAAGTAAATATTGCACAGAAGATTACCTCCCCCATTAATAGGATTTGAGGTATATATAGAAACAGTAAGGTGAATGTTCCTAGACATGCTCTTAGACCCCAAGTCAGGCTATGGACCCATTCTGCTGCCCTTCACAACCTGCTCTGATATCCATTTATGATTGTACAGTCTTGTAGGGGAATGAAATTGAATAAATGATTCTAAAGTGTTTTCCCCTAATCATGTTTTCTTATCTCTTTATCTGCTTTAGTGGCAGAGTAGTGGATGATGATTATATCATTGGATTTCATTATTACTGTTTTCGTTGTGGTTATTATTATTAACATTATTATTGTCATCATCATCTTTATTTATTTAGTAGTTTATTGTTATTATTTTATCTATTTATTTATTTTTGCTGATATGTATAAGTACTTCATATAATATCTATATAAATAATGTTCAAATATTTTTTATGCAGATTTATGTAGATCTTATATCAGGTAGTGACCCATTCATTTTGTTGATAAATAGGCTTATTACAGTTGTGTTATGTAATTCTTACCATTTAAGTGTTTTAAAATTATGTGATAAGGATATATATCATCTTTAGATACAGACACACACCTTTCTTTGCATTTAGTGATTTGTATTTAGACCCAATATAGATAATTCCTAATATGACAGCCTACATTATTCAAGGTGCACATTTGCACTGTCATGACTACAAAGGTAGATGAACATAATCAGCTGATTTGTTCTTCCCCCCCAGTGACGTGCGTCATCATGCAGAAGAATGGGGCAGGGCTACACACGGCCAGCTCGTGCTACTGGGACAACACCACTGACGGCTCATGCACTGTTCGCTGGGAAAACAAAACGATGTATTGCATTGTCTCCGTCTTTGGGTTGGCCCTCTGAAGATTCTCAGGGACACAGGACTCCAGAATATTTATAACGTGAACTAAAAACTGGATGCTGGTTTATAGTGGTACTGGCCAATGGCTGGTATAGTGATGTTTATCACACCATTGAGATGCCTCTTTATAAATTGAGAAGGAAAGAAAAAATGGCCAATGAAGGACAAAACAAATGTTTATATTATTGATAATGCTTATGCTATCCATATGTAGATATTAAGTTAGTGCAGCTTATATTTTATTCCAGATGACCAATGATCACAATCAAGAAAGCTGCTGCTTT